GTGTCAGGTCTTACATTCAAGCTTTTAATCCATTTTGAGTTGATTTTTGTGTATGGCATAAGTTAGTGGTCCACTTTCATTCATGTTCAATGTGTGGCTGTCCAGTTTTCCCAGCACTGTTTATTGAACAGACTGTCCTTTCCCCATTTTATATTCTTGGCTTCTTTGTTGTGAATTAATGGACCATATATGCGTGGGTTTATCTCTGGGCTCTATCCTGTTCCATTGATCTATGTGTGTGTTTTAGGCCAGCACCATACTGTTTTGATGACTATAGCTTTGTAGTACAGTTTGTAATCGGGGCACATGATGCCTCCAGCTTTGTGCTTCTTTCTCTAGATTGCTTTGGCCATGAAGGTCTTTCATGATTCCACACAAAATTTAGGATTGTTTGTAGTATTTCTGTAAGAAATGCCATTGGAATTTTGATAGGGATTAAACTTAATCTGCAGGTTGCTTTGTGTTTTATGGATATTTTAAGTTCTTTTAATGCCTCAAAAGCTATTTTTTTTTGTATATATGCATTTTGTTTTTATTGAAGTCTAGTCCACTTACAATGTTGTGTCAGTTTCTGGTGTACAGCACAATGCTTCAGTCATAGATGAACATACGTGTATTTGTTTTCACATTTTCACCAAAAGTTACCACAAGATGTTGAATTGAATATAGTTCCTTGTGATATACCGTATGAACTTGTTGTTTATCGGATTTTGTAAATCCTGTAATTGGAAGTGAGAGACATTCTGCCAGAGTTCAGCAGGTGTTCTGTGTGATTTGATGGGTTTGTAGATGTAATTCTCAGTTTGTTTGTGGGAGAGGGCGAGCGGAGTCTCTCCACTCCACCATCTTGGCTCAACCCCCCATTTTAACAGTTTTTAATTCTTCCAGTCCATGGTCATGGAATATCTTCCTATTTATTTGTGTCTTCATTACTTTCTCAGAGGGCAGTCTTAATTCCTAAGACAGGTGTTGACTTCTCACCTGGACCCTGAAATAGCCTCGTTACCGCTCTCCCCATGGCCTCCGCATGCTGCCTCTCTGGTGTTGGAGGGCGGCTCTAAAGCCGCAGGTGGGATGCTGTCGCCCTTCTGCTCCGTGCTTCCCACTGCCTTCCTGGAGGGGGCAGGCTGCTCCAGCAGGGCCAGCCCCACCTCCCCTTCCCTCCCCTCCTCAGCCCGGCGCCTTGGCGGTGCCACACTACCTGACAGTTTTCTGAACACGCAGTGCTGTTTCAGGTCTGCCTGTTAGTGTGTTATTTTTTTTTAATAGCCTTTATTATGTTATGTTCCCTCTATATGCACTTTGGTAATAGTTTTTATCATACATAGGTGCTGAATTTTATCAAATGCTTTTTCTGCATCTGTTGTGATGATTATGTGGTTTTCGTCCTTTCTCTTGTTAGTGTGGTCTGTCATGTTGGTCGATTTGTCTATGCTGAACCAGCCTTGTGTCCCTGAGGTGGATCCAGCTGGATCATGGTGTATGATCTTTTCTATGTGTTGTTGGGTTCTGTTTGCTAATATTTTGTTGAAGATTTTTGCATCTATGTTCATCAATGATATTGGCCTGTAATTTTTTTTTGTGGTGTCTTTGTCTGGTTTTGGTATCAGGGTGATGGTGGCCTCATGGAATGAATTTGGGAATGTTCCCTCCTTTTCAATCTTTTGGAAGAGTTTGAGAAGGATCGGTATGAGCTCTTGTTTTGTTTGGTAAAATTTCCCAGTGAAGCTGTCTGGCCCTGGACTTTTGTTTGTAGGGAGGTTTTTTATTGCTGATTCTATTTCATTTCTTGTGATTGGTCTGTTCAAGTAGTCTGTTTCTTCTTGATTCAGTCTTGGTGGACTGTATGTTTCCAGAAACTTGTCCATTTCTTCTAGGTTGTCCAATTTGTTTCCATATAGTTGTTCATGTGTTACTTTCTCTACCTCCTGTTTTTCTGACTCAGACTCCTTTAAGACATAGCTCAGCTCTCACGGCTTTAGACATGCTGTCTGACCTCCCCAGCAGAATGACTTCCCTTCCTTGCTGAGCCTTTTCTGGCATGTTAAACTTACTTAAAGATACAGCTGATTCTTTTTTTCTTTCAATCTTCAGATACAGAGCCCACCGCCTGGTACACAGAAGACACTCAAAAGTTGAAATAATGGCTCATGTCTGAAAGAAGATTGACCCTCAGGTTTAGTCATGTACATATGTTTAGTTTCAAAAATGTTTTTCCTGATTGTAAAAATAGGAAAACGTATGAAAGTAATACATATTCACTGTTGAAAACTTCACTAAAATAGGGAAAAGTTAAAAGGATATGAAGTCACCCATCTGTTGTCCAGCATACTTGGTGTATTCCTTCCTTCCTGGCCTTTTTTTGATTCTTCTGTGTATATATCTATTGGTGAGAATGCTTTTTGGTTTTTATAAAAAGAATTGAGGTTCATGAACATCAAGTTCAGTACAGAGCTGAGGCCACCCAGGGAAGTACAGAAATAAGCAGCTGCTGTTCCAGATGAGGACATGGAATCTTGTCAAGGGCTGCTTGGCTGTGTCTGTCTGTGGTACAAAAGCTGTACTTGCTGAGCAGACACCTCCCTGTACCCATCATCACTCACTCAGTCATCCTCCAACAGCCCCTCAGGTGGGTGTGATGTTCTCTGGGGAATAAGGACACCAGGCACATCTGCAGGATCTGTTCTGAGGAGCCCGAGGCCACCAGGAGTGTCCCAAACCATGAAGTTCAAAGATACATTAGGTCAGCATCGAACAGCACACTGCCCGAGGTGTCCAGAGTCTCTGTGTTTGTATCTTCTTTGGTAGAGAAGTTTTACTTTAAAAAACAAAACAAGACAAACAAAAAAACCTTGCAAACCATTGACCTAGCTAATTGGACAAATTCAGTTTTGCATAGTTTCCTTATAATGCTGGCTAAATGAGACATTACTGTAAAGTCCTTTATCTTTTAATTTTAATATGTGAAGTGCTTTCAGAATACTAAAGCTGAATCTTTAATCTCCTGCTGTATACCAGAATTATTTTATTTATTTTTTATTGAAGTGTGGTTGATGTACAATGTTGTGTTAGTTTCAGGTGCACAGCAGTGATTCAGCTACACGTATGCATACATATCCTTTTTCAGATTCATTTCCAGTACACATTATTACAAGATACTGAGTATAGTTCCCTGTGCTGTACAGTGGGTCCTTGTTGTTTACCTGTTTTATATGTAGTAGTGTGTATCTGTTAATCCCAAACTCCTAATTTATCCCTCACCTCACCACCCCATTTCCCCTTTGGTAACTGATTTGTCTTCTGTGTCTGTGAATCTATTTCTGGTTTGTAAGTGAGTTCATTTATTATCTTTTTTTTTCAGATTCCACGTGTAAGTGATATCATATGATATTTATCTTTGTCTGACTTGCTTCACTTACTATGATCATGTCTAGGTCCATCAATGTTCCAGCAAATGGCACTGTTTTCTTTTTATGGCTGAGTAGTACTCCATTGCATAAATATGCCACAACTTCTTTGTCCAGTCATCTGTCAGTGGACATTTAGGTTAACTTCCATGTCTTGGCTATTGTAAATAGTGCTGCTGTGAACATTGGGGGTGCATGTATATTTTTGAGTTAGAGTTTTCTCCAGACATATGCCCAGAATTAATTCTAATTGATTTTGAGTTCCATTTTACTAACTTATTTATTTGAGTGCCTATTATATGCCAGGCATCCTAGGTACTAGGGCATAGAGGTTGGTAGGACAGTCAAGATCATCGCTCTTGTGGTGTTTTGTTTGCAGTCTAGTGGGAGGAGTCCATTTGACAACAGAAAAATAAATATCAAGAGTGGTAAGTGGTTTTAAGAGAATAAGACGGGCTGATGTGAGAGAGAGAAATCGGGAGTTGACTGTCTTCTGTTGGGTCTGTGGAGAAAGCCTCCCCAGGAGGTGACAGTGGGCTGAGACGTGGCAGCACTGAGGAGCCAGCTGAGCGCAGATGCTCCAAATGGGACTGTGGAGAAGTTAGGAGACACTGGAATTCAGATGGGGCATGGAGTGTAACTTTCTAAGCTCCAAATTTAATAGTGATAATCACAAAGGAAAAGCTTGTCAGATTGGACAAGATAAAATTTATGGATTTTTGAATTTCAAACTGTCATATTAAGTGGCAAACAATTGTAAAAAAAGTATTCTTATTAAGATAATTTATTAAAATAAATTTAATGGATTAATAAGAAACATAAAACTCACTAGGTAAGTGGCAAAGAAGTATGACAAGGCAATTCCCAGAAGAGATTGTATAATTCATAAACATCATTACAAATCAGAAGACGCACCAATTAAGTGACGAGCCATTTCTTAAATCTACTAAATTGGCGTAACCTTCTTTTCTTTGACTAATACCCCACACTGGGAAGAGTACAAGGCAGCGGGCATTCTCATAAATTGCT